GTCCAGAGAGATATCAAAAAAAGGAAAGAAATGGGGATATTCTAGAAGACTTCATCCTAAGCTCTTTTACATTCATCCTTTTTTCATTACAATTCTGAGAAGTAAGATGCAGTATAGTAGCTTGTAGGAAATACCATTATTTAAAGGCACCCTTGCTTTATAATTCTAAGCATATTCTTAACTCCGAAGTTAAATTTTAGTACTGATTCAAAGCTCAAAATCCAGTCACACAAAAACCTGCTGTTGTTTGTCCTGTCTTGGCTTGATCTCCCTATTTCATTCAAAATGGAAAACAAAACCTTTTGATTGCAGCTGCTTTTAAACAATTAGAAATTTTTAAAAACCGTACTAGACCTTTGAAGATTTATCAGTGTATCTATCATTCTGCCGTTCCTATTTTAAGGCTACTGGTGATTTTGGTTTGCAAGATGTAGTAACTGGAGAATATAAGGTAAAGTTACAATCTAGAGCCATTACCCATAACTAGCCTACCTGGAACTGCTTGTTGTCCAGATACGAGGTACTAGAATTATTGTGATTCCCAGCCATCACAGCTTTAATTAAAGGAGATATAAAACAACATATATGGAGAACACCATTTTAAGAAAAACTAGTGTATGTGATTGTTTAGTTAGTAAACTTTGTTGTTCTTACTCTCCTAGCTACTTTCCTAATGCTGATGTGGGAAATGCTAGGCAGGCTGGAGGGAGGAGTCAAGTAAGGGCCTAGCTTGGAGTCCTTGAGCAGCCACAAGTGCATAAGCTTGACCTCCCCCAAGATTCACGAAACCTTATCTGGCTATTCCCACAAGCTGTCTAGTGAGGTTTATTTATTTATTTATTTTATTGAATTTGTTTACCGCCCTACTCCCAAAGGACTCAGGGCGGTGAACAGCCATAGAATAAAACATATAGATACAAAATTTAAAATAAACTAAAACGAATTAAATAATTTGGCTCTTGTAATATAGTAGGTAGACCATAAAGTTACTGACTTTTGTTATTCCTGAGTGGCTCCGGATGGTTACACCTGACAGCTGGATCTCTGTCCATTTCCACCACTATCATGGAGCTTCATTTCACTGAGACCATCATATATCATAGTAAAATTAAAGTTCTTTTACTTGAAATTCTTGAAGTAGATTTACTCTGATTGTTTACTCTGATTGTCCCAAAGGTCTATTTTTCAAAAGGCAAGTGGACTTTATTTTTTTTTCCCAAAAGCAATGGAAGAACGAAGTCCAGTTGCCTTTTGAAAAATCACCTTTGGGTTAGGGCAGAAATATCAATTATGTCAAGAAACAATTGACCTGATCTGCCATTTGTTCCTCTCTAGTAATTTGACTCTGTAACCTTGATTGTCTACAAATCTAATGATAACATAATCTGACTTTGCTCAGGGCCTTTATCTGCTTAATAAAACCCTAACTACAGGTACTCCTCGACTTAGGACCACAATTTTGCCCAAAATGTGGGGTGGCTAAGTGAGACATTTGTGAAGTGAATTTTGCCCCATTTTATGACCTTTCTTGCCACAGTTGTTAAACGAATCACTGCAGTTAAGTTAGTAACCCAGTTGTTAAGTGAATCTGGCTTCCCCATTGACTTTGCTTGTCAAAAGGTCGCAAAAGGTAATCACATCACCCCGGGATACTGCAACCGTCACTAATATGAACCAGTGGTCACACATCGAAATATAAATCACGTGACCAAGGGGATGCTGCGACAGTAATAAGTGTGAAAAATGGTCGTATAACTTCAAACAGTCACTAAACAAATTGTTATAAGTTGACCACCTGTATTGAAGAACTGGAGGCATGCTCGTTCTAAAACTATCCTTGTATCTTTAAACGCGCTGTGAAACTCACAGTAGTAAAAGTTACGTGGGCAAAAGTATAAAACATATCCCAGAAAATTTTGTTGACTACTACTTCTCAGATCTGCTCTGGCTGCTCTGAGTTTTCCTTTCAGCTGGTGCTTCTTGGTTTTCTTAAAGGGGTAGGGCTGACTTAAGTCTTTTGGCACTGCTTTAGTGGTTCCTGGCACTGTCTTTTGGGGTGTACTTTCCACACTACCTTTACAATCCCTTAAGCTGGTTTTACTATTAGCAATACGTGCAATTTTGCTTAAATCCTACCTTTCTTATAATTCTAAGCCCTATTACATTGGTCCCTTCAGATGTATGATTCCTACAAAAATAACATTTAGCTATTATTGCTTGTCTTACACGCCCAACCATCCTTTTCCTTTTCACACATTAATTCTACCTTCATTTGCTCATTGTGAAATTTGATTCACATTCTTTCTCTCCCGATTTTTTTCCACCATACCTTCAAGCAGTGGTGGGATTCAGCCAGTTCGCACCTATTCGGGAGAACCGGTTGTTAATTTTTTAAGCAGTTTGGAGAACCGGTTGTTGGAAGAAATCTTATTTTGATTTTTTCCACTTTACAGGACTAATCCTGTAAGGAAGGCAGGAAGGAAACATTCTGGTGTTGTTTCTAGCCTAATCTTTATTGCCCTGCTTACAGAAACTGCCTCTCTGGTTAACCCTTGTTACATTGTAACAGCTAAGGCAAAGCACCCATCAATGTGAGTGATCTTGAGTTGGCAACGCCCACACAGTCACATGACCACCGAGCCACGCCTATTCAGCTGGTCATTAGAGCAGAGAACCGGTTGTTAAATTATTTGAATCCCACCACTGCCTTCAAGCCAATTTCTTCACAACTGTGTGGACCGGCCCCTGCAGTGCCTTTTCTCAGCAAGATTTCCGAAGTGGTTTGCCATTACAAGTAGACCTTGACTTACAACCAAATTTGGGACCGGAATTTCCGTTGCTAAGCAAAGGCAGTTTTCAAGGAAATCATGGCTGATTTTATGACCTTTTTTTTTTTTTGCCAAGGTTGTTAAGCGAATCGTTCCAGTTGTTAGGTGAATCAGGCTGTCATTAAGTAAATCTGCTTCCCGCATTGACTTTGCTTGTTGGAAGCCACCTAAGATGGTTGCAAATGGGGATCACATGACCAGTAAAATATAGTCTGGTTGCCAAAGGTCTGAATTTTGATCACATGACCACAAGGATATTGTGGTTGTTATGAGAACTGGTCAGGGGTGGGTTCTAAAATTTTTTACTAGCGGTTCTGTGGGTGTGGCTTATTTTGTGGATGTGGTGTGATGGTCATGTGACAATTCTTTAGGATTTAGCAGAGGTACTGGTCTACCAGGCTTTTAACTGCTTGCAGAGCTGTACCGGTCTACCCATTTATTTTTGCGAGCACCGGTCTACTCATTTGTTTTTGGAGGCACTGGTCTACCCATTTATTTTTGCAGGCACTGATCACTCATTTGTTTTTGGAGGCACCGGTCTACCATCACACTGCCTTTTAACACTGATCAGTTATAGGGCGGCCCTTTGAAGCCCCGCGGCAAGAGTTTAAACAGTTTTTTTACTTCTAGCCAATCAGCTGGGACTCAGGAGGCAGCAATAGATTGGGGGTGGGGCCAAATAAAAGGTAAGAATAACAGGGGCGGGGGGGCAGGGGGGCAGAACCGGTTCAGTGACATCATATCGTCACCGCTACCGGCTCGACGGAACCGGGAGGAACCCACCACTGGAACTGGTCATTAATCATGTTTTTCACTGCCGCTGTTAAAATAGAAAAATGAGGAATTTCACCCTTGAATAGCACCAGGTTATTAATTGTGTCATTGTTTAGAGAAATGTTGAATGGCACAATAAGATCCAAGACTGCACCTACTTGGGTTGGCAATGTGGCATAAGATTGATCACCTTATCTGCTTCTCATGGAGAAAACAAGGAAATTGGATTGTTTCATTCTTATGTGGTAATCATACATAGTTGATGAATATCTCGATTGTATATCTGGATTGTAAAAGTATATAAACCTGACTGTAATAGCCCTTTGGGGTTCAGACTTTGCTTGAACTATCGTTGCTGAAACTTGCGCAATAAATCTTTCCCTTCGACAAAGAGCTGGTGTGGTCTCTTTTCTGTAACACTGTAATTTTGAAGGTTGCTGTGAGAAATAAAGAAATTAGGGTTATTCCTGTAAAACAATATAGCCTAAGTTACTCCATTTTGGAATCATGTTAAGGCCTTATTTTACTCTGTATAACCTGAGTATATAATTTAGCTGACAGTTTAAGGAGTGTGAGAACAGGATGTGTGGTTCCTGTGTTTTTAGAGGAAGTTGTGTTCTTGAGATGTCCAGGTCGGCTTGACCTCGTTAAGAAAGGGAAGTGCGTATATGCTGATATTACTTGTTATGCTGATATACACGTGTAAGCAATATTTTTAAGTAGGGTATTTTTATATACTGGAATTATGGGGACTTTCCATAATGGGAATATCATGTGTTCATGTATTATATAAAGTCTGAAATTGTACTCAAGGGACATGCTTGTATCCTGTAAGATGTAACCTGAAAATTGTATAAAAGACGGCGAGAAAGGATGGTAATTGCTCCCTCACTTTGGGGGGGACCTTTGCAAAGAAATAATTAAATAAACTATATTCTTGTCTTATCTCACAACTCTCTGTCAATTATTTTCTGGGTACAGGCATTTCCTGTGTATCACAGTTGCTTAATCAACGGTTCTAAGTCAAGGACTATCTGTGGTCAGATTCTGTGTTAGAAGGGTCAGAAATGGTGAGGGATTTGCCATTTGACTCTTAGAATCTGAAACAGAAAAAAGGCAGAAATAATCAGAATTGTTTTTAAAGACGGGACAAGGAAGAATCTATTTAAATATAAATTCTAAGCATTCCCAATCATTACATCTCATGATATCTTCTAAACCAAGTTTCATTTCTCCTCCTACCATCTTTCCTCCCCCCCTAAGTTTGTTTTTTTTTTTTAAAAAAAATAAGCAAACAAAAAATACCCTTCTGGCTGAAAGAAAAATTACTTCCTCGTTTAAAAAAATAGCTGGCAAATTGTCTAATAAGTTAATTCCCTTTCAGTTTTAAACCACAAAAGCAGGAGGCAGCCAGCGGGCACAGCTCGGCAAAGAGAAAAGAGGAAGAGGAAGAAAAGAAGAAGAAGAAAAAGGTTTGAAATCTTGCTTTCTTTGAAATTTTTCTGCCTTTGCTTTTATATTTATAAATACAAAATAAAGTTTTCCGAGTTTTTAATCTCCCTGGATCTAATCTGGTTATTGTGCCATTCTATATTACATTGCAGAATCTGAGTCCTTGTTTTTTAAAATTTGGGGGAAAATAAGAGTGGATTTCTGAAGTAACACAAATATAGTCATTTTTGAAGAGGAAAACTAAGAAGTGACTAGGATAAATTGTTTCATTTCTATTTGCCATCTCCTTACATCTCCCCAGTGTCAAAGTTTTTGAAATGCTCATTTTTATTTATTGAACATCCATGCTGCCTATTTAAATATCCATATTGTATTTAAAATGAGGGTGTCTTGCCTTCCGCCTTGAAAGAGGCAGTGGTGAGGCCCCTCCTCAAGAAGCCCTCTCTGGATCCGGCTGTTTTGGCTAACTACCATCCAGTCTCCAACCTTCGCTTTGTGGCAAAGGTTGTTGAGAGTGTGGTGGCGCGACAGCTTCCGCAGTACCTGGATGAAGCTGTCTATCTAGATCCGCTCCAGTCTGGCTTCAGGCCTGGGCACAGCACGGAAATGGCATTGGTCGCATTGGTGGATGATCTCTGGAGGGCTCGGGATAGGGCAGTGATGGCTAACCTTTTTGCCGTCACGTGCCAAAAGCGGGGAGAGTGGGGGGGATTGCACGTGCGAGTGCTCAAACCCATTATTCAATGCGCCCCATCCCCCCACGCATGCATGCGTGACCCCCCCACTCTCCCCCCGCTTTTGGCACGTGATGGCCCTGTAGGCCCGGTAGGCCCATTTTTTTGCCCTCCCCAGGCTCCAGAGGCTTTCTAGGAGTCTGGGGAGGGCAAAAACAGCCTTCCCCAACCCCCAGAGGCCCTCCGGAGGCCCAGAAACAGCCCATTTCCTGATTTCCGGTGGGCCCGGAAGGCCTGAAAATCAGCTGGCCAGCACACACATGCATGCTGGACTGAGGTAGGGCAATGCTCGCGTGCCCACCGATATGGCTCCGTGTGCCACCTGTGGCACCCTTGCCATAGGTTCGCCATCACGGGGATAGGGGTTGTTCCTCTATCCTAGTCCTGTTAGACCTCTCATTGACCATGGTATCATGCTGGCTGAGTAGCAGGAATGGGGGGTGGGGGGCACCATTTTACGGTGGTTCTCCTCCCATCTCTCTGACTGGTCGCAATTGGTGTTGGCAGGGGGGCAGAGGTCGACCCCGAGGCGCTTTGTTTGTGGGGTGCCGCAGGGGTCGGTCCTCTCACCCCTCCTGTTCAACATTTATGTGAAGCCGCTGGGTGAGATCATCCGTGGTTTTGGGGTGGAGTTCCATCAGTACGCTGATGATACTCAGCTGTACATCTCCACCCCAGGCCTTCCCAATGATGCCCTTGAAGTGATGTCCCAGTGCCTGGAGGCCATGCAGGTCTGGATGGGGAGAAACAGGCTCCCGACTCAACCCTTTCAAGACTGAGTGGCTGTGGCTGCCGATGTCCCGATATAGCCAGCTGGTGCCATCGCTGGCTATTGGGGGCGAGTTACTGGCCCCCATGGAGAGGGCTCGCAACTTGGGCGTCCTCCTGGACGCACGGCTGTCTTTAGAAGAGCATATGATGGCCGTGGCTTTTTATCAGGTTCGCCTGATTCACCAGTTGCATCCCTTTCTGGATCGGGACTCCTTACGCATGGTCACTCAGGCACTCGTCACCTCCCGCTTGGACTACTGTAATGCTCTCTACATGGGGCTCCCCTTGAGGAGCACCCGGAGGCTCCAACTGCTGCAGAATGCGGCCGCACGGGGGATTATGGGAGTGACAGGGTGCTCCCATGTGACACCCCTCCTGCACGAGCTGCATTGGCTCCCGGTGGTCTTCCGGGTGCGCTTCAAGGTGTTGGTTACCACCTTTAAGGCGCTCCATGGCTTAGGGCCTGGGTACTTATGAGACCGCCTTCTGCCACCGATAGCCTCCCACCGGCCAGTACGCTCCCACAGAGAGGGACTCCTCAGGATGCCGTCAGCCAGACAATGTCGGCTGGCGACCCCCAGGGGGAGGGCCTTCTCTGTGGCTGCACCTGTCCTCTGGAACGACCTGCCCCCGGAGATACGTAGGATCCCAGATCTCTGTGCTTTTCGACATGCCCTTGAAACTTTTTTATTTCATTAAGCCGGGCTGGCTTAAACACCCCCCCTTTAGATATTTTTAATTGTTAATTTGATTTTAGTTGGGATGTTTTAAATTATTGGGCCAAAATTTGTTTAATTCTTTCTTTAAAAAAAAAATTAAATTTTGTATGCGATGTTTTTATTCTTGGCTGTTCACCGCCCTGAGTCCTGTGGGAGAAGGGCGGTATAAAAATCTAATAAAATAAATAAATAAATAAATAAAATAAAGGGGAGAAACAAGAATGGAATGGAATAGAATGGAATATTTATTTGTTTATTTCATTTTGTCGCATTTCTATGCCGCCCCACTCCCAAGGGACTCTGGGCGGCTTACAACAGAGAATAAAACAATGCAACAATATCCCATACAAAAGTTAAAAGAAGACATTAAAACATTAAAATGTTAAAACGTTAAAACACATACACTCCAATTTGTGGCCAGGTCTCGCAAGATCACTATAACGAGATCAATGGCCCCAGGAATGGAATAGAATAGAATAGAATAGAATAGAATAGAATAGAATAGAATAGAAGAACAGAACAGAACAGAACAGAACAGAACAGAACAGAACAGAACAGAACAGAACAGAACAGAACAGAACAGAATAGATGGATGAATGGAATGGAATGGAATGGAATGGAATGGAATGGAATAGAATAGAATAGAATAGAATAGAATAGAATAGAATAGAATAGAATATAGAATAGAATAGAATAGAATAGACGGAATGGAATGGAATGGAATGGAATGGAATGGAATGGAATGGAATGGAATAGAATAGAATAGAATAGAATAGAATAGAATAGAATAGAATAGAATAGAATAGAATAGATGGAATGGAATGGAATGGAATGGAATGGAACGGAATGGAACGGAACAGAATAGAATAGAATAGAATAGAATAGAATAGAATAGAATAGAATAGACGGAATGGAATGGAATGGAATGGAATGGAATGGAATGGAATGGAATAGAAATAGAATAGAATAGAATAGAATAGAATAGAATAGAATAGAATAGAATAGAATAGAATAGAATAGAATAGACGGAATGGAATGGAATGAATGGAATAGAATAGAATAGAATAGAATAGAATAGAATGACGGAATGGAATAGAATAGAATAGAATAGAATAGAATAGAATAGAATAGAATAGAATAGACGGAATGGAATGGAATGGAATGGAATAGAATAGAATAGAATAGAATAGAATAGAATAGAATAGAATAGAATAGACGGAATGGAATGGAATGGAATAGAATAGAATAGAATAGAATAGAATAGAATAGAATAGACGGAATGGAATGGAATGGAATGGAATGGAATAGAATAGAATAGAATAGAATAGAATAGAATAGAATAGAATAGAATAGAATAGAATAGAATAGAATAGAATAGAATAGAATAGACGGAATGGAATGGAATGGAATAGAATAGAATAGAATAGAATAGAATAGAATAGAATAGAATAGAATAGAATAGAATAGAATAGACGGAATGGAATGGAATGGAATGGAATGGAATAGAATAGAATAGAATAGAATAGAATAGAATAGAATAGAATAGAATAGAATAGAATAGAATAGAATAGACGGAATGGAATGGAATGGAATAGAATAGAATAGAATAGAATAGAATAGAATAGAATAGAATAGAATAGAATAGAATAGAATAGAATAGACGGAATGGAATGGAATGGAATAGAATAGAATAGAATAGAATAGAATAGACGGAATGGAATGGAATAGAATGGAATGGAATGGAATGGAATGGAATAGAATGGATTAGAATAGAATAGAATAGAATAGAATAGAATAGAATAGAATAGAATAGAATAGAATAGACGGAATGGAATGGAATGGAATGGAATGGAATAGAATAGATAGAATAGAATAAGAATAGAATAGAATAGAATAGAATAGAATAGAATAGAATAGAATAGCAATAAGGGAGAATGTTTGTAGTTCAGGGTTGAAACGAGGGGTCCTTGGTGCTCTCTGAGCGTGTTGCTTTCATGCGGACATTTCGTTACTCTAACTAGGTAACATCATCAGTGTAGTAAGGAGGGCTGTTTGCTGTCAGTTTATATTCTGGTGGATTGCCTGTCTGTGTGGGTGGATGGGGGCAGTCTTAGAGATTCTTTGGTTGGGCTGTTTATTGATGGCTCTTTGGCAGTTTCTTGACTGGGCTATTGCTTACTTGATTGTTGGTCTAACATTGACCTTGGAGTTAATCTATGCTGATATGGGTGCTGATTGCTGGTGGAGAGGTGCTGGAGTCTTTTTGTTCTCTTTTGGGCTGGTGGATGGTCTCTTTTGCATAGTCTATAGAAGTTGTTAATGTCTATGTGTCTGTTGATGGTTGGTTTGTCAGAGTGAATTTCTAGAAATTCCCTGGCGTTTTTTTGGATTGGCCTGGTCTAGGATTGTCACAGCACATTCTATTCTATTCTATTCTATTCTATTCTATTCTATTCTATTCTATTCATTCTATTCTATTCCATTCCATTCCATTCCATTCCATTCCATTCCATTCCATTCTATTCATTCTATTCTATTCTATTCTATTCTATTCTATTCCATTCTGTCTATTCTATTCTATTCTATTCTATTTTCTATTCTATTCCTATTCTATTCTATTCTATTCTATTCTATTCTATTCTATTCTATTCCCGACCCTAGTCTACTCTACCCTACTCTTCCTACTTTATTCTATTGCTAGTCATCGACCTACAACCACAATTGAGCCCAAAATTTATGTTGCTAAATGAGATATTTGTTAACTGAGTTTTGCCCTATTTTATGACCTTTCTTGCC